AGGAAGACAATCATTATTTATAGTATACACTTGGAATGTTATATCATCAACATATTCCTATAAATTTATTTATTAACTCAAATTTTAAATGTTGTCCTACAATTATGCCAATTTTTTTTTTTTTCCTAGGTGATTTAAAATCTAATTGGGCTTGAGATACATCACGGGTCATACTAGGGTTTACATATGGGGTGAACGGTGTAAATTAGAAAATTTTCATTTTTTTTGTTGTATCGGGTTTGAGGCTTATATAAAGGGGTCAGATAGATCATCGCAGGAGATGGACAGCGGATCCCAAGCAAGCCTCGGATGCGTCAAGAGGGTCTTCGCGGCAAAGCCGGAGAGTCTCAGGTTTGTCACTTTACAATGTGACTTTGAAAAACCCGGCATAAAGCTCGGGACATCGACCACTCTCCAAGAGAGGAAGAAAATACGTCCAATCTCAAGGAGTTGGAAAGGTGGAAAAGAACTCTTCTACCGGGAGTAAATTACAGGATTTGAGAATCCAGAAAGCTTTGGACTTCTCAGAGAAGAAAAACCATTAAGCTCAAAAGCATATATGATTTTTGCAAATATGATTTTTAAAACTATTGGGCCTAGGCAAAGATTAGAGGAAGAGCCACGAAATGGGCTAGGCAACTCTTCATTTTGATTGGGCTAKGCCCATTTGTGATTTGGGCCCAAAGGGAAGTAGGTCATCGAGTTGTTGGGGCTAGGGAGGAGGAGCGGTGGAAAGTCGGGGAGATGAATCAACGGCGAGGATGATGGAGGCGCACTCGACGTCGAAACCAGGTCAAACCCCGTATTTCTCAGATTTGGAGATTGTGTGCGAAGGATTCCCGGTGATGGCATAAGCTCTGGTGGGCATAAACTGTTGCCAGCGTGGATTGAAACCACATCGGAGAAGAAGGTCAAAGCGTGACCCAATGCCTAGTGTCTAGAACGCCTAATCGGAACCTAGGCGATTTAATAGGCGGTCTAAGCATTTTACAAAAATACATAATATATTAGATATATGTGATAAAAATATATAAAAAACCATAATTTATAACTAACAAAATTTATATTATATTTATATTCATCATTTTATAGCCAAATATATAACATTTTTACGATTTATATATGCAAAAACTTATATTATTTTATCATTATAATACCATAATATTTTAGGCGGTAAAAACGATAATCGCTACGCTTTATAGGGACCTATTGCCTAAGCGCCGCCTAGACGAACGCCTAAAACATTTTTTAGAATACTGAATAAAATACTTTTTGGGAATTTTTGCAGAGTTAGCAAGCTCATCTAAAATCAATGAATTTTGAGCGTAACTAATTTTTTAATTGTTAGAATTGATAAAAAAAAAAATTGATTACATTCCAGTTATTTAATAAAAAGGTGTTTTGGAGAATTCAATGAAATAATTTATAATTACAATAGGCAAACATTGAATCTGACTGTACTTAGAAATTATTATATTCTTAACATAGATACAAATATTTGTTGTATGAGAAATTTTAAAAAATGTCACTTTTCAAATGTCATTTTTCAAAATGTCACATTTTTAAAATTTTTGCAACAATACTATTTAAAAAAAAATTCATTAAATCATTTATGTTTGGGTTAACCCGGTTAACTATGTTGTATTATGGTTTAATTTTGAGGGTTTAAACGGGTTTAGGGGTCAAAACATTTTTTAGGGTTTATAATTTTAAGATTTAGGTTTTAAAAAATCATAATTAGTGACATTTTTGCAAATGCACATCCTAAATAGCATTTTTATAAATGTACACATCAAAAATAACATTTTTTGCAATTGCCTTTGTTATATATACTTTTCTCGGATATTTGAGTTTAAAATATAGTAAACATTAGAATATTAGAGTATCTGATTGTGTTTAATCTGTAATAACCTTTCCCATATGTGCCTGTCCATGTTTCATTAGAATAGTACATTTTTGTTTTTTTTTTCGACCGCTGAAAATCAGAATTTTGCCAAAACAATTGTAAATAGGAAAAAAAAAAAAGTTTACGACAAAAAAAAAATTCAAAACAACTCTTCTTTTTGGTGCTTTTACATTATCCACTATCGAATCGACCAACAAAGTTGTATATATTTGGATAAGGCTAATTTTTAAGAGATGTACCACGAGCGTTCGAATCTGTGGCCAATTTTTTTGTTCTTTCAGAATTATTACTTTTTTGATGGTATAGAAATTACTTTTTTTTTTTTTGCTGTATTATACGGATTTTATGCTCAAACTTTAAACTTGATAATGACGCCCATCATGCTTTTCTTATGCTAACTATTTTTTGTCAATCAATTCAAATATAAATTAAAACGGTTCAAATATTTAAACCGAGGCTAACTCAAGAAAAAACTAGTCTTAGTAATTAAACTGCATGGAATATAAGAGAAGAAAAACAAGAAAAGCTACCTTCATTCCTTGCAAAAATCAGTAGCAATCAAAGGAGATTTAATGAAAGAAAGAAATATTCAGAATTGTTTTACATTTTCTTTGATTTTGTTGAAAGAAGGATCTCTTTCAAAAGCAGAAGAGCTTGGGTATTCATTTATAGTCGAATAAAAGTCTAGCAAAATATTTAAAATATGAAACATGTAACACATTACAAATTCAAGATTACTTACGTTATATAATCGAATTTTGTTAAGTGAGAGGAGACTGAACTTTCTTGATAGTGTCATAATGCTCTACGCATCTCCATCGGTGAGATACTCACCAATATAATATTAATATTTTTATAATATTTTATGTTGAGAGATCTACTATTTAATACCATTTTTATTAATTAAATATCCAATGAATATCTATTAATAAATATTAATATTTTTCATATTTTTGTTATTTTTATTAAAAATTTAGCATTAGTAATTAACCATAATAACATATTTACTAATACTATAATTTGTTTTTTTTTTAAATAAAAGACGCTAATTATTATTTTCCTGTGCGGTTTTGAAAATGAACATCAATTAAATAATTTAGTCTAACTCCATAATTTCATAAACATAGTTTACTAAAACTTCATTTAGTAAATGGTTATCCAAAGTTTTTCTGAAAAAAATCTTAAATTCTAATTACGCACTCATTTTCAATGGTTAATCGATTTAAACTATTTGAAATTAATCATACTAACCGAACTACCAAAACTTAATCTAATTTTTTCAGATAAATCCAACAAACCGTTTAGTTTTATTTAGCAACATTACATACGATCCAAAATTTGTTAAAAATATAAATTATTTTTAATATTTTACATGAAAGGGTTTATGTTCAAATATCAGGTTTAGTATCCATTTGTTAAAAATATAAAACTATAAATTGAATTTTCATTTCTAAATAAAAAATAGTGATCAAATTTTTAAAAATATAATACTAGCTATAGTATGTTTGTATTCTCAATGACTTTTTGCAATTTTTGTTTGCTAATTATTAATATATCAAAATAGTTCTGTTTGCAGATTACGTTGATTATTGTAACCGTTTCTCTTACGGTTATGATGATATGATTTAACCATTTTACTATTATGTTTGACTTTAGAATAATCCAAGCTCTTATTAAAATTACTTCGGCTTATAAAGTGTGTCGTCGCATCTCATTCGGATACAAAGACGTTTCTTCTCAAAGGTTAATGTCTATATGAATAATATGCTTACAATATACAACGCGTAAAGGTTACCGAATACATTCACTGGTATCGTATGGCATTATCGAGAACATTTGGTCTCATCTTACTTGTGTTCTTCACAAAATTTAGTTTGAGCATAAAATCCGTACAATAAAAGCAAAATTAAAGTAAATTCTATACCCTTATATATAAAAAAAGTAAATTCTATCTATCAAAAATGTAATAATTCTTAAAGACAGAGAAAAATGACCACAGATTCGAACTCTCGTGGTACATATCTTAAAAATTAGCCTTGCCCCAATGTATGAAACTTTGTAGGTCGATAGTGGATAATATTGTAGCACCGAAGAGAAAATTTGTTTTTGAACTTTTTTCCTATTTATAATTTGTTTTAGCAAAATTATTATTGTAATTTTCAGCGGTCGACAAAAAAAAAAACAAAAATCTACGTAAATGATACTGTTAGCTGAATAAACACGTAACATGATGGAACCTGGACACTGAGGCACATATGGGGAAGGTTATTTTCTGATTAGACACAATCAAATACTCTAATTACATATTTATGATTTTACATATTCCAGGAGGGTATATACAAACATTTGTATCCATGTTAAAAATATAACAATTTGTAAATATAATGTTTGCCTATCATATTCATAAATTATTTCATGTTAAGAAGTTTTTGTTTTTCAATTTGTTTCCTAAAAGTACAAATTCTTTCCCATTAAAAGGAAAACGAAATTATTCTCCAAAGTCAAAACTTAAAACACGTTACACCTTCCATCTACAAGAATTAGGCTTCTCAGTCTCTCTCAACCATTTATTTTCCAAATTTCTTTTTTTTTCCCTACTCCTTAATTTTTTTTTTTATTTTCTCACTCCTTGATTGATACCATTTCATAATCTTATTCAAATTATTTGAAAAACCCTAATCCAAGACCAAAATCAACCCTTTTTCATTGTCCAAATTAAAGTCCAAAACAGAGTGTTATATTCTCCAAACTGCTAGAGAAATTTGCTGGGATTTTGTTATTTTCTTCTTGGTTTATAATTTTCTGGGAAATTGTTTCGTAAAAATAGAAAAAAAAAAAGAAACATTATTGACCTCTCTTGGTTCAGACAAAAAAAAGGTGTGTTCTTCTTACGTTACAATTTTTTTCTTTCTTTGTTCTGATCAAAACCACCTTTCTAGGTTTTACACATTTGTTTCCCCATAAAAGTTTTCTTTTTTAAATCACAATTTTTATTTTCTTTTATCAGAAGAAAATTCATTACAAATTTCACAAAATTGTTGGGTAGTTTTCTGTCACTTGACATTAAACTTATTTCCATTTTCTTCTTTGGTAATTGACGTTAACCAAACTTTCAGTCATAGAAAATCTGTTGTAACCAAATTTCTCTTTTTTTTTCAATGATAATTTTCTTTGATTTCTTTTATCCTCGTTGAATAGACTTTGATTTTGGTTCAACATCTTAATTCTTCTTGGAACTGGTTTTTTGTTATCTGGGTTTTTCTCGAACCCTCTAGGTCTCTGGGACACAAAGGACAAAAAGACTTAATGATGTTACTATCATCGATAATTTGAGATCAAAAGGTAAATAAATGTAATGTGTGGTTAGTCTTGAAACTCCTTTTTTTCTTCTTGAAAATGAAATATAAATAAATGCTCTCACTTTTTTTTTTTGGGGAGCATCTAATGAAATGTCACCTACCTAACTAAAGAATCATTTATATACGTCTTGTTTTTTTATCTGCATACAGATTCTTTTATGTACTTGTGAAACTTTAAGAAAAAGCTTCAGTAACATCTCTTAATGATGTCTGAAGATGGTTCTAGTTACAACACAGATTTTCCAAGAAACCCTCTTTGTATCTTCCTAACTGATTTCAGGTAAACATTTTGTTTTGTATGATTATGTTTGTATGTTTATGATCAAGAAGAAACTTGAAATTTGGTTTTACTTTAATGTATCAGATCAGTATTGAAATTTGATGAGCTCGGTTTAGAGATAGCGCGAATAGCTTTACCTGCAGCACTTGCTTTAACAGCTGATCCTATTGCATCTCTAGTTGACACAGCCTTTATAGGCCAAATTGGTAACAGGAAAAAACAGGTCTTTCATTTGCTTATTCGAAATCATCGGTTTATTTGTATCGGTGGTGATTTTGTAGGTCCTGTAGAGCTTGCTGCAGTTGGAGTTTCAATTGCTTTGTTTAATCAAGTTTCGAGAATCGCTATTTTCCCACTTGTTAGCATCACAACTTCCTTTGTAGCAGAGGAAGATGCTTGTAGTTCTCAGCAAAACACTGTCCAAGATCATAAAGAATGTATTGAAACCGGTACCAACAATACAAAGGAAGAAGCTCAAGAACTAATTCCTGAAAACAGTAAAGGTATTATTCTTAGTAAACTTCATCACTGCTCTGTTTATTTGAGTTCTTGAATGTAATAATCACTTGTTTTGTTTGATATTTTTTTCTTTCAGATTCTGTATCAGATGAATCGAAAACGAGTAGCGGTATCTTTAGTGTTAGTAAACCTCCAGTGAAGAAAAGAAACATACCATCAGCTTCATCTGCTTTAATCATTGGATGCTTTCTTGGTGTTTTTCAAGCTGTGTTTCTTATATCCGCAGCGAAACCTCTCTTGAATTTCATGGGAGTTAAACACGTAAAGTATCGATCTATCGGGCTAAAAAGATGTTTCTTTTCTATATCTGATGTTATGCGATTGATGGTTTGATTTTTTTTTACAGGATTCTCCAATGTTGAGACCTGCTCAGAGATATTTATCTTTACGATCACTCGGTGCACCCGCTGTTCTTCTTTCACTCGCGACACAAGGCGTTTTCCGCGGTTTTAAAGACACGACAACTCCGTTATACGCAACTGGTAACGTCATTTATATATAATATGTTCAAATTCCTTGAAACAGAACAGAGTTGATAATCAACATTTTTGTTTTTAATCTCTTCTTCAGTGATTGGAGATGTTACAAACATAATACTCGACCCAATTTTCATATTCGTTTTCCGACTTGGCGTTACAGGAGCAGCCACTGCTCATGTTATATCTCAGTGAGTTTGATTTCAAATTTTATAGCTTGGTTTTTCTCTCAAATGACCTCTCTTTAATTTACTTTCTATGTTCATTTTCAGATACCTTATGTGTGGAATACTCTTGTGGAAACTGATGGGTCAAGTCGATATTTTTAACTTCAGTACTAAACATCTTCAGTTCTGTAGATTCATGAAAAATGGTATTACAAATATTTTGAAAATGTTCAATGTGTTCACAGTGAAATCTCTGTAAAATAATACAGTTTGAAACTTGTTTTCTTGTGTGAATTCTCTCTCTCAGGATTTCTTTTACTGATGAGAGTAATCGCGGTAACATTCTGTGTAACTCTTTCCGCGTCACTAGCTGCACGAGAAGGACCTATTTCTATGGCAGCTTTCCAAGTTTGCTTGCAGGTTTGGTTAGCTACTTCACTTCTTGCAGATGGGTACGCGGTAGCTGGCCAGGTTCAGCCCTTAAGATCTCTCTCCTCAATGCATCTTTTTTTCGACTAACAAAGCGGTTTTTAAAGCTTTAACAAATGGTTTTTCTTAAGGCGATACTAGCGAGCGCATTTGCCAAAAAAGACTACAAAAGAGCTGCAGCTACCGCCTCTCGTGTACTACAGGTACACACAAGTT